GTGCTGTTAGTTAGTGACAGCAAATCCCATAATGCTTTGTGAGGAGAGCTCTCCAAGCAAAGCAGTCTAGGATATATCTGCTCGTCTAGTGACCATGGGTGATCACTACTTTTAAAGGTGCATTGTGGGCCATTTCGAGTTCACTACCATTTCATCCACTAGACCTTTTAGACACTCATTTAAAATGGTGTAACCACTATATAATGCCCTTTAATGATTAGAGCAGACATTCGGACACAGCCTGAGTGTAGGATCACATCAACTTGACCTCAAATGGTTTGCTTTCTCTAAATCTACTGCTTTTTTTAGTAGGACTTAATCCTTGTTTGCTCTAGTTTAATCACCTGCTTTAGTGCCAGTTTCAGTCCATGTTCTGCTCACAAGTTAAATAATTATTGCTCAGTCTAGTTGAATAATCCCCCCTTGGAAATTGGGACTAATTAAAGCAATACAAATATCTAAATTCTTAAAGCTTTCAGGTATGACTCACAAACCCAAAGGAGGTCCACAAAAAAAGAAAAAGAAGCTATGCTTTTTATTTTTCAAAAGATCAGCCATCCAAGAAAAGAACTACAACAAAAGACGCAGAGAGGATAATGCAGAACAACCCAGTTATCCAGAATGTATAGAGGAGGAACCACAGGGATGTTCTCATTTTATTTTTACTTATCTAAAGCCCAGAACGCACCAAATCTTATTTTGCGTCTGATTCGAAAGAAAATCATGTTGGACGAGCTCGTGGCATTTAGCGCTCATTAAAAGTCAATGGGGATTATCACACCAAACACGATTTTACGCAAGGGGGCTTCCGTAGGTTTGACTGAGAAGATAACAGGTCTATTTTAGTCGGACTATGCAGCAATTCAGCGACAAATTCATGGGTCTGACAGGAAGAGAGACGCTGTTACAAAGTAAAACACATTCGCTTTGGGGGGAAAATATAAAATAAAATCTGTTTATCACATGGGAAAACAGTCACTTTTTGGAGTCGCGCATCACGTTTCTAGCAAATCGGACAGACTCATGTAAAAACAATCAGTCAGACAGTAAAAAATAATACTTTACCCATGATAGGAATTCTACAAGACAGAAAACAGAAAGTAGTGATCCTCTTTGAGCTTCGCAAAATCAACGAGGGACAGAAAACGCAGTTTATCAATCACCTTGAAAAAAAAACTACAGGAGGAGGAAAAAAAAACGATATATCCTCTTTGAACCTCAAAAAATAAAACAACGAGGGGCAGACAGATCAGGTAGGCGCGCCGTTTCTCTCACCGATTTATGAAAAAAAGAAAGAAAAACTTTGATAATCACAGATCTCTCTCTGAGAATGGCCTCTCACTGCCTCAGTCAGCATATAAACCATCCCACAGCCTGTATTGCTGCTTTTTTTTCTTTTCTTTAGACATAGATCCCAATATTTTCTCACCAAAGGCATTTGATTATTATGTGCTCAGGTTAGAGATGCTGCACAGACTCATTTACGTGGGGCTTCGCTTTATTGAAAGAGGTGGGGTTTTTTTCCCATAACTTTTCATAATCTGTCCAATTCAAATGTGGAAATTTGTTCTAATTTGTGTATACCATATACTAGTCATAGCCTCCCTGTATATGCAGTCAGTGTGACGTGGAAAACAATTGGATCAGAGAGTAAAAAGTCGTACACAACCGGTGTGTTCTGGCCTTATCTTTTATCCATTGAATATATTCAAAAACGTCATTTCAATCACATTTTCCCAACTGAAACATCCAGAGAAGTGCCGTCCAGTGTCATGGTATGTTTGCATAGAATCTACAGCCTCCCAGAAGCTCTCAATTGTTTTGCTGTTTAGTCAATTGTAAAAAAATAAAATAATAAGATAATGAGATCAGATTTTTAATTGTTAGTCTATAACCAAATAATTATACAGTGTAGATTGCACAGGTTCCTGTATTAGTTTCAGTAATCAATTATTAGTTCCCTGTTGTTTATTTTATTGAACTGCATAGAATAGTTCATAAACACAGTTGGGAAATTCTTAGTTTACAGTACATTTAAGATGCAAATATTTTAGTAGGGTCCATACTTCTTTACTACATTTTATTTAAAATCATCAGAATATAGAAAATAATGTATATTGTGTGAAATGTTTTCCACATAACTATTTATTCAGTAACATTTACTGTATAAAAATCCTAATTTTCCCACTTTGTTTCAGTTAGATCCTAAGAGCCTGTCAATCAAAGCTTCCCTGTCCAAACTGTCTCCAAGGTTTGGTGAAAAGTTGCAGCCCTGGATAGAATCACTAATAAATTCAAACACAATCAATGGGTTTTACGTGTATCATCCTTAAAGAAAATAAAGAACTTGGTGAAACACCTTCTGCATAAATCTAAATGAAAGAAAAGAATATAAAAAAAAAATCACGGCGATCCAGTTTTCATTTTCCCATTTCTTTCATTTTCTATATCAAGCTAATAGCTAATAGCCGCAGGCTGGGCTTGGGGAAAGCAGACCGGTTCGGGCCTTTACAGCCTCCGCTGGTAGGTGGAGAGCTGGGGGGGTTCGTGTCTGGGGGTTTCGGTGCTTCGTATCGGGGTTTTGGCGAGCAGAGCCGACGCCCCGCCTGCTGGATCAACCAGGAGCCGCCGCCATTACAGCCGATGCTAGCTAGCCGTTAGCACCAGCTAAGGCCTACAGGTTTGACGACAGAGCTCGTTTCATTTTTAACTGTTGCGTTTGATGTGTTTAGATAAAGGTTGTCATCGAAATAATTATCAACATCTGGTTTTAATTTGACCGGAAAGCCGCTTTAAACCCGAAAAGCGGCGGACAACTTTTACCGCAAGCTAACGCGACGGTTTGTGTTAGCCGCAGCTACAAACAGGGATGCTGGGAGGAGGAACTGGGGGAAAATTCCCTTTATCCTCATTTTATTTTATTCATTCACATCACGACAAATATGTGTGACACAGTTCTACAGCTGCATTGGCCTACAGAGGGCAAAAAAAACATCTATTGATATTTGCTAATAGTTTGCTAGGGCGTTATTTCCCCTGTTAAGTGACAGCAGCCTGAGATCAACTAAAATATTCAACATGTTCACATATTTCTGAAAATAATGAGGAAATATTGGTGTTTGTGTGAGCGAACCTTTTTGATATTGTAAACACGGGTCAGCATCCCGATGCCTCTGTCGTTGAGGATGGTGAGTTTTTCTGCCAGTTTCTGCTGGCTGGGCTGCATCACTCCCCGAGACATCTTCTCGCTTTAATCCTCCAATCCAAAAATAAAATCAATATTATGGGAATATCCGCTTCTGGTCCAAACAATGAAAAGAAGGAGAAGCCGTGATTTCTGTAGTGGTTAGATTTGGCCCATGATGAGGCTTTTCAGGGATAGCAGCTTCCTGTACTCCACCCTCTGTCTCCCTGTCTGTTTTTTTTTTTTTTTTCCGGGGATGAGGATCTGGGCTGCTGGTGGTGCGTTCACGGACCGTAGTAATCATCACTATTATAATTTCTTTGACATTTCAAATGCAGACTATTTAATAATTTCCTCATGGATACGGTATTTTTTGTTCCAGATTAATAAACAGACCAAAATGACAGCTTTATATTGTGAAAGATTTGTCAAAGCCATTAAAAATGAGGTAGTCATGAAGACGTAATGTGAAACACCCTCATAAAGAAATACACTAATTTGATAGATGACATGACAAATACAGTTGCATTAAAAGTAAAAGCAAAAAAAAAAAAAAAAAAAAAACTGGTATAAATAGGATAACCATAAATCTAAATATTTCCACAAGACACTGATTAAGTATGGAGACAGACTAGAAGGCCTCAAGCAGAGGTCGGATCCACATATTTTTGTCACTGAGCTTTCAAAATAAATAAATGTAATTTTTTCCTTAAAGCTACAGTGTGTAACTTTTAGCGACACCTAGCGGTCAGACTGCAGCAACATGAACATCTCCCCCCCACCGCTTCTCCCCCCCAACAGTACGGCGAGCGTTACGGGACAAAATGTCTTCCACGACGTCCGCATCACCTACCTTCTCAAGTGATGAGGTTTGTTTACATAGATAATTTTACAGATAGTATTTCATTAGTCTGTGTAGGGTATAGATTTCATGTAGACTTAAGATAATAAATATACCCGTTATTTTTTCTACATCGTTGGGACGTTTTGGCGATCTCGCAATCGCTAGTTTGTTGCCTCTGCGCTGCCGTAGCGCAAAGATGTCTGCCTCCATGGCTGCGAGACCCGCTCCTATGTAATTATAAATAACGAATTCTAAGGCAACGCAAATATTAAGGTTAAGAGGCTGAGCTCGTAGATGATGATAAATAACATAGTTATGTATAATATATTACATTTCTGACTGTATATCCCTGTAATTATTACACACTGTAGCTTTAAAAATATATATATTTTTAGGTTAATAATGTTTAATTTTATTTTTCTAATTCACTACAAATATTGTTTCAAGGCCATTTACAAAAAGTTAGAGATAATCTTTTTTAATCATAAAATTTAGGAGTGAAAACACCAAAAGGGGGCTATGAAGATCTACAAATAATATTTTTTAAAACAGTTGGTATAAATACATGTAATTTATGTGTATAAACATATAGATAAATTAGATTTTTTTTTTACCTAAATAGGTCATTTTTAGTTTTAAAAGTAGGTTTTAACAATCATAACTTTACAGATTCTAAACAGAGAATACTTTTTATATTTTAGCTGCTTTTCAGTCTGTTTTTTATTGTAGCTATAATTAAGAGAAGAAAAATTAAATCATTTAAAGTTAAGTTCTTCTTTTATTCTTTGATTTAACCAAGAACTACAGCTGTTAATTTAAATACTATATTCACAAGTCCACAAGGTGTAAAATCGCCATTTAGTTTAGCAATAAATTATATTTTTAGCCATTTTATTTTTATTTTAGTTAAAACTGCAGAACACAAGGAGAAGCCCAATCCCTTCTAATTGGAAATGACAGACAGCAACAGGAAACCTGTTTAGAGCCAGAAGTGACACAGCATTCCTGCCGTCCCCTGGTGGAAGTGCACCCTGAGTAATACTGTCCATATAAAAAAACAAATCTGCAATAAATAAAAAAGGAGTAATGAACAAGGAACTGTTTTTAGCTCTGCCAGGGATTTATTTTTTTTTGTGGTTGGTCATTGTCCAACTGGAGGAGCCATTTGTTGCAATGCTTTAACTTCCTTGCTGATCTGTATTTAGAGATCCTAATTTCTCCTTTTTTATTTTTCTAAATTTCCACATTTATTAACATTACAACTGTGTAACTGTGGAATGAATCAAAATTAATTAAATAAATCCACAGCCCGAGTTCCACATTTAAAAATGTTTTTTTTCCAATTTAATATGCAGCAAACTGTAATTTTTTAAAGAAGCAAACCACATCTGTCTCCCTCTCTGTCCTCCATCTACAGTTTGACCTTCATTTCAAATGATGGATTAAATGTATTTGGTAAATCTGATGTTTTCTCCCAGGCACGATGCATTCACTTGCTCAGGAAATCCAGGGCTTCTCCAAAAACCGCCTGAAGAAGCAGTCCACCCGCGTGACCACAGTGACAGGCAAGAAGTTGCTGGAAAGGAGGAGTGATGGATCAGAGGGAGAGGCTGTGCAGGTGGAGGAGCTGCAGGATGACAGCGGATGTGGATTTGTAGAAGATACCAGCCTTGATCTTCAAGTCGGTGTGGTCAGACCCTTCCTGCTGCTTGGTAACTTTTCTGATTAAGATTTTACTCTTTTACCTACACTTGATCCTATTTCCCTACCTAATAGCTGCTGCAGCTTCAACAGGCCTGTCATCGATGTAATAATTTGCATTTTCCTGTTCCTGCATGTGGCTTTAAAAGAAAGGCTTATATTTAAGCAAAAAAAAACAACAAAAAACAAACAGATAAAATCATGATAACCACTATGAAATGAAAGCAGGACTAAAGAACTGTTAAACAACCGTTTCTTTTTTCACAGTGTTCCACTTGGTGTGATGTTTATTAAAACTGCCTTTGGGAATAATCCTATGCAGTTGACACTGAGATTGAAAGAGACGGAGGAGGAAGGAAAAAAAAGCAGAATATACAGATTGACTCTCACATCTGCAAGAAACGAGAGAAAAGAAAAGAAGACAGAACACATCGTGAACTAGCAGCAGATAAATGTTTGCAAACATCGAAAGAAAAAACCTCCAAAGATAAAACCATCTTATTC